CATGGGGCCAATCGCCGCACGGATGGCAAAAAGTCCAAACATGCATACTTCTGCTAGGTAAACGCCCGTTAACACTTGTTGAAGTGCTCGGGGATATACCAGGCCCTTTGTGTCGATAACAGGTTCGTACACGAATAGCAGGTTATATCGATAGGCCTGGTATACCAAATAAAGCCCAAGAGCAGAAAAGCCAAGGACCAAGGGAGCTATACAGCTGTAGGTGATTGCTAGAACGTTCCTTTATGTTAGATTACCAAAATATATCAAGGAAGGATGACAGCTCTGCCTACCTATAACAGTCATATTTGTGAACACCGGGAACACTGTCCCCCACCATACTCCAGTAAGGGCAGCCCAGCGTGAGTATAACTTTCGAGGCGTAGAGTCAAAGAAGGTCCGAAAGAACTTGAAAATCAGGAATGCGATGACTTGTACCACAGCCCCCGAACTCAGCATCAATCCTTGGAAAAGGAAGTACGAGATGTAGAAATTCGTAGCCTTTGGTAGGTTCTTTGCCAGTAGGTCCTTGGCCGAGAGTGGGTTTTTGATAATTTGACTTGTAGCTGCAGACGCCGCGGATGTAATGGTAGTTACCAGGAATACTTGCACTACCTGGAAGCAAAAATGTGCATTCTGCGTGAACAGCTCTGCTTTAGCCGTTGAGGGGACACCCGACTGCCTGGCACACCCTAGATCAACAACGTTAGGACGAGGTCGGTTTACAAGCTCAGGTTCAGGAGTTTCATACATCTCATAATCCAGGGAACTGCTGCCATCAATATAGCTAGTCCTGCTGCAGGAAGAAGGCCACTTATTATTCCCTTGATGAAAGAAGGCAGTTCATTCACGAACTTGAGAAATTTGAGAAGGTTGGTGAGATAGGTGATGTTGGAAATTGATCCAATCAGGGCGGATGGAATGGACCAGAAGATAATCATGACGGTAATAAAACCTTGCATGGCAAATTTTCTGACGATTCTTTGGTACCATGAATAGCGTAGTGCAGGCCAGAGTACCTGATGTGGTGGTATTCCGATGAATCGAGGCGTCATCTGGGAGGGATGGTGATGTGAGAGCGTTTGGTATGCGATTTGGGCTTCTCGCTGGGTGGTGAATTCCACAAAAACTCCACCTACAGTCTTTGCTTCGCCGACTCGATGTTCTTGTTGCAAATCCTTGACCCTTGGGATAAGTGTAGCAAGACGAGAACGCAGGTCTTCAATTATATCGACCTTTTCGCCAAAGAAGTAGTGGGCTAGTCTTGAAGGGCGCTTAACATTCAATAGCCAAGGAGCCTGGTCGAGATCGGATTCGTTACTGTTCTGCTTAACCGCAGCTTGTTCCAACGAGACTTCTGGGTCTCGGCCTTGTTTCTTCAGCGCCTTCAGGCGAGCAGCATGCGCAGCTTTAACGTATCTAGTTTCGGCATCTTCGAGGCTATATGCAAGTCTATCTCGCTTACGAACAAGCCTCGCCAGCTTTGAGGTATCCTCTGATGTCCAGACACGCTTGACTGAGTCACCGAATATTTTGGATAGCTTCGCCTTGTTCTGGTAAGACTGCGGAACAGACATGAACAACACGGTCCGGGAGGAGATCCGGTCAGCATATAGCGGCGAGAGCAGGTAGGCTTGTCGGAGAGCGGCATAAAAGATGCTTTCACGACAGACCATGAGGAAGACAACCCCTACCAACAAGTTAGAAAGAGTAATTGGCGACCCCTTGTAATCGGTCACTGGGTATCTAAACAAGGGAGACTAGTATTCGCTCACCAAAAAATATCCAAGAGACAATTGTGTGTGCATAGTACCGCTTGGGATTAACAACATTGCTGAAGGTGAGGAGATCCAGCTGGGTATTTCCCGCGCCTCCTGTGATATTTACGGGCATCAAGATAGGCCAAGTGATGCAACATCCAATGAAGCTCAGTAGGGACATTTTCTTGAGAAACCGAAGGAAGAAATAGCCATCTAAGGATGAGTGCCGGAGAACGTGGCTATCTGAAAGGCGGATAAAATCCCCTATCCAGTTAATGAACCCATAGGGAAGTTCCGGGCTTCGTTCACTGTTCAACAATTCATGCATTAGATATAACATTTCATTCCGCATACCCCTGATGTAAAGGATCAACCGCAACGTACTGGTCATGCATATGCCCTAGGTATGACCTCGGGGAGTAAAATCGGCGTTGGGTTCGACGGCAGATGAGGAATATCAGGAAACAAACAACAGCCAGGATAAATGCGGGAAGGAAAGTGGAAAGCAATGCCATTCCAGACGTAGACGCCGTTATCCCCACAGTCTGGAGTGCATCCGACGTGGAGGATTTGTTACTTCCTCGTGCTGATCCAATATTTGGATCATTGCTTGGATCCTTTTGATGGTAAGTCATTAGTTGCATGTCCACCCAACTTATGAATATATATATAAAAGAGAGAGAGAGAGTGTGTGTGTGTGTGTGTGAGAGGGAGAGCCCCAGGAAGAAGGGGAGGGGGTTGCAGGAGAGTAGAAGGAAGTCATACCAGCACACCTCTGCCTATGAGGGTACTCATTGCGACAAGATGCTCTGAAGACCACTCCATCTTCGCTTGAGAGGCTGTTGCCTTTGCAGATGCGACAGATTATTCGAAAACTCAGCACATTCTCCGGTGAGAGCGCCTCCTATGTCATCATATTTTTAATCTGCCTACAGTCCCCGGACGGTGCAGTCAAACATCACTGATGAGGGGGTAACGGGAGGGGAGACACAACCGTTCGGTCTTATGAAGCAAAGCAGTGACATTGAAGAGTCTGGGGAAGAAGAATGTCATTGTGTGTCTCTGAGAGAGTGGAAGAATGGCTTCGACTCTGGCTGGCTTCTATGAGCTGTCATATATAATTAAGTGATGGGCTCGCTTTTTTGGCTCCAGCAAGCCATTTTTTTCCTCCTCATCAAAGGACCCAGCAAGGGAAACCCCCGAAGAGTGAGGGACAACCAGCTATTGGATGATAGGCAACGCTCCAGCCCGCTGCTGATATGCGAGAGCGAATGAAACGCTCGATCGGCTGCTCCATGGCGCAGTGCCGCACGGTAAAAAAGAAACCAGAGCCAAAGCCAAAAAGAATAAGCAGTGTGGGACAGGGACACCCGGGGCCGACACCATTGGCCTCCCTACACTACTGGCTCTGCGGCGAGCGATTGACAGCCCCAGCGTTCCTCGCTTGCGCAGGGCAGGTGGCCAAAAGTGAAGGACTAGAACCCGTGGAGAGCTCGACACGTCTAGGCGGAGAGCACGGCGGCGGGCGAGACAAAATAAAGGGACCTCGACCCTCCCCCCGGTGGAGGACGTATTCAGGGAAGTTCGAGCCATCAACCGATCGTGGGGGTGGGAAGGGCCTGGACGGGGTTGCGTTATCTGGGCGAATGGCAAGAGGCGGCTGATGTGTGGCCTGCATGTCACAGGCCGAAGCAGAGCCGTGAATGTGAATATGATAACTAGTTATTATAATAATAACAATAATGCTGCTGCTATTATTGCCTGCGGCCGGGGGGTGCGGTCCTCGTTGATAGCCAAAGCTGTATGTTTGATAGACCGGCCGAGTGCTGGATATCCTGTATATCCATCCGCCGTTCTCTGGATCTCGCAAGAGCAGCGACTGCCAGAACGAATATAGCACATCAGTCGTATCGTATGGTCAATTCTCGGGGGTGAGGCCCTTTTTTTTCGATAGACGGTGTCCGAGATGGCTCCGTGGGATGATGATGATGATGATGATGATGATGATGCATATAAAAGTCGGCCAGCACAGCAAAACCCACCACCACAAGACGAAAATGCGTACGCAGCTCGTTGCACAGCAGTAACCTTGGATAACTCGGGCTTTTCCCTCAGCTCATGCAAGCGTCCATCGCATCTCTCGCGGATTGAGGCCATCTCACACCCGGGGGGGGGATGTCATCCGCCCAGTGTCACCGCCGTAGTAGATGTGCGTAGCCATCCATGCAGTTGCCGGACCGCCTGTACTCTCTAAAAGACGGCCCTGCCAGCCATGTAGTTAGAGAACCGTCAGGCAATAGTCGAGGCCCCAGACGATGGGGACACCAGGCCAGGCCATGCCACCTCGCCGTCGTCTTCGCCGCGTTGTCCCCCGTCGTGCCTCCAGCCGGGACAACCCTATATCAACATTATATCAACAACGTCCCCCCCCAGAGCCGACATCGAGCAATCCAGCACCGCCATGGAGAAGACGGCCGGCGTTTCGGTAGCTACTGCACGGCGCCAGGAAGAAAGAGGAGGAGGAGGAGGAAGAAGAAGAAGCTGAGCGAGAGATGCAGCGAGGCAGAGAATCAGCGAGAAGACGGGAACGAAGAGCCCGGCCGTCTGCACCGTAGGCAGCTCTCGCCCTGGATCCTCGCATCGAAGCCGTCCGTCTTTTTGTTTTTTCGCATCGCCATCTCAACGGGCCCCCAGGCACAGCAGCGAGTATCAGATTATCCTCTCGTATTCCTCCCCGGATGGCTTGGGCGGCCGGACAAAACATGCCTGGGAGATAGGTAGCTGACCGCCCCCAGTTCCCTTTTGTCCGCCGCAACGATGGAGCAGCAGCAGCAGCAACAGAGCCAGCAGCAGAGCCAGCAGCAGCAGCAGAAGCCGGCCAAGTTCCACTGCCAGTTCGAGGGCTGCAGCCGCTCGTACCTGAGGAGCGAGCATCTCAACCGCCATGCGCTGATTCGTGTGTGATCTCTTCTCCTCCCTGTCCTGTTTCCTCTCTTCTGCTTCTGTGTGCGAGCGAGCGGCGAGTTAACCGGACGGACAGACAAGAAGGGCGCCTTTCTCTGCTACCTGTGCCAGAGACGCTTCACCCGCAAGTAGGTAACTAACCGCCCGGCCGATGAGAGAGAAGAGCAGAGAACCGCTGGGGAGACAGAGACCGAAGGCTGACCTCGCGATGCCGGCGACAGCGACCTGCTCAACGCCCATCTGCGGCGCCATGAGAAGCGCAAGTCTGCCTCCGAGGGCTCAGACGCTGCCCTCGCGCCGCTCTCGCCCTCGCCCTCCGCCGGCAACGCCAACAGCAGCAACGCCAACAGCAACACCAGCAGCAGCAGCAGCAGCAGCCTGGCCGTCGTCGCCAGCAGCTCCCCGGCGGACGCCAGGTCCTCGCCGGCCACCGCAGAATGGCATCTCGAGCAGCAGCAGAGCCAGGCGCCCGCAGCCTACAGCGACGTCGGGCGTCCTCCCGTGGCCCATTTCCCGCCCATGGCGCCTCTCACGCTCCCGTCGCCCTCGCCGCGATCCGATCCCGCCAGCCATATCCATATATACAACAGCAGCAGCACCAGCAGCAGCGGCAGCGGCAGCGGCAGCAGCAACAGTACCAGTAACAGTAACAGTAACAGTCACGGCCTNACCCCCATGCTCCGCCGCAGGGCTCAATGGGCTCCCTGAGCCATCTGCCACACCTGCTCGGCCAGCACCAGCACCAGCACCAGCCGCATCAGCATCAGCATCACTCCCACCAGCCGTACCTGGCCATGCCCTCGCCGTTCGACGACTACCCGTGGCTGTTCCACAGTACCAGCCTCTTCGATCTGCCCTCGGACGACTATCTGAATCTTCATTTCGGGGATACTACTGACCATACATCGCCTCCTGTATGTTGTCTGATACGAATGGCCATGCTGAGCGTTTTATATGTCCAAGAAATATCATGAGCCTGTTCTTTACTAAAAAATACGTTGCAATTGCCCCCAGGACATATACCTTCCGTCTATCGGTTCGAACTCCCCCCAGCATGAGGCTCCCCAGATCACGGCTCTCGACCATGAGAGGATACTGAACAATTGCCCCGTACGTATTAGTATTATATGCACACATCATCTCTCTATCTATTTGTCTGCGGCATCGGAGCTGACGTCAAGTTAGGATCTATTGAATACCCCTTTAAAGGACCATATCAGAATGAACCACATTCTCCGTTGGGCATTGGATTATTGCGATATATACATGCCCTTCTTCCACCGGCCAACTCTCAATTTGTCCCGATCCCCCCCTGTTTTGCTCCTCGCATTGTGCAGTCTGGGAGCGTTTCTCAGCAAAACACAGGAGTACTATGAAGTGGGTAGACTGCTTCACCGGCATGTGTGGTCTCAGACTATTGAGGTGGGAAAACCAGACCTGTCTTCACTCTACTGAACCTATCCTTGAATACACTCAAGCTGACAATTTATCAATAGAAACCTCTTATGAGTGCAAGGGTCGAAATGCCTTTTATACAGACATTGTTCGTTCATGGACCCGGCTGTCTTGGACTGCTATAATATATATATATAGGACGTCAATTAAAACTAACTATTATTTAGGGTTGTCCTCGAACACATCTGTACGTATGCCATGGCACGTCATGAACATGAAATGTCGGAGATAGTGCACGGGATAATCGTTACGGTAAGCTTGTCATAGAGATTTATGTCTAAAAAGAAACTGCTTCTGACTAGGTAGCAAGCTCGCACGACGAAACAATCTTATGACAGAAGGCCCCAACCGAGAGGGAGGCTCACGACAGTCCCCAGATGTCAGGTGGAGGGAATGGGCACAGCGCGAATCCGTCATCAGGTATGGATACGTTGAGATGGATCAAATCCCAAGTTAAATCATTACTTACAGGGGAGTAGGATTGCGCATACAATCTTTGTCAACGACGTACAGTATATGGTCTACTTCTCCCATCATGCCTTGCTCTCTGTGGGCATGATGAAAATACCCCTTCCCAGCCGGCAGTCACTATGGGATGCACCGTCAGCCGTCAAATGGGAGGATGAAATGCGCCAGTTAAAGAAGACAACCCGATCAAGGTACTTCAGTCTGGACTCCGCCGTGCAATCAATACTATCCATGAAAGACGCAGAACACATGCGTGAGGTTCTCCACTGGCACAGCACTCCCAGCCCGCTATCACTGCACATCCTTATCCATGGCATAACGTCGGCGATAGGGGATGCAAAGTACCGATCCGTCTCGTCCTCAAGTAGTTTGGTTATTCGCGAGCTGCAGAGGCTGGAGTTTGACAGCGCACTAGCGTACTGGCGAGACCAGTTCGACCAGCTATCGGGCCCTGATCAGCGATGTCAGCTATCATGGTGTGCCCTGGTCATGTATGACTTCTCTGCAGTGCTACTGCGGAACAACCTGTCCGACATTCAGATGGCAGCCGGAAGTGCCTTTTCGTCGGGACGCACAGTTACATCTCAAGTAGCACAGGCGGCGTACACGCGGTTGGTGTCCACGGACCCCGTCTGCCACGATTCCTACCTGCACGCCCTCGAAGTGGTTGGTCTATGCATAGAGGAAGGTACCAGCAACGGTAGCGTCAAACCCGGCCTTGGAGTGTTATTGTCCCAACCCATCTCACAGCCTCGACCGTTATGGCAGACGTACTGTGCGTTCCTTGGCCTTCTCGTGCTCTGGGCTCGAGCCCTCGGTCTAGAAAACAAGGAGCAGTCTCGTAATGTGTCGAGGATAGGGCTACGGCAGTTCTCACTGCAGGCAATTCCATCAACTGCTGCAACCATCTTGGCCAACATGCACCACAGGGAGCAGGCTCAGTTCTCAGCCGCCTCGGTAGAAGTCCAGGTGCTTAAAAGCGAGCTGAGAGAGTTGATTGGCACCGTCAGTGACCGGCTCTCGGCCAGTTCCTGGGAGATATGTAAGTTAGATTCTTCCAACAGCCTTTTTTTTTTTTTCCTACTGTTTCTATTTCTAACCTGGTATTGGCACAGCACATGAGGCGGCTAGAATCCTAACCTCCTTAGTTGAGAGAGAAGGATTGAACTACCATAGAAGGGCGAGCTCTCTTCTACAGGCTTCCCGTGAATGACATCTATGGCAGGGCTAGTTTTGGAGCAGTATGAGGAGATTCGACTTATTCACCCTTCGACATACTCCCCCAATATCCGCCTGTCTGGTTGTTGTTTCAACCAAGTAGATGTACTATTGAGATTGCTCCTATCTATCTATTATATACACCCACACACATATATATTTGGTACTCAAGAAGCGTATGGTCTTCTTGCCAGTATCAACATTGGACAGGCAGATACCCTTTCAATATATGATTCCCATGGCTCCCTATACCTATTTCTTTATAGTGTCCATTGAAGTTAGCATGAACCCATCTGCATTTCTTTGCTTTCCTTTCTTGTGTTGCTAGCATAAACCCTTGCCTTTGCTTAGAGTGCTCAGACATGTAGAAAACAACTATATCCTCCTCGCACTCTCTACCAATATCTACACGTCTAGCCTGTCAGCGCGTATTCGACATCTCTTCTATCCTCACACTGCTGCTATAATCTATCTGCAGTATAGAGGTATGACTTTATTAGTATAATCTATATAAACAGCTCCTAATTGAATGCTCTCCTAGTAATACTACGCCACGCACTACGCTCACAGAATGTGCAGCAAGACCACTCCGAAATACGCCTGCGGCCATCTAGGGGCAGCCCGTATACTTCCATGCCATAAGAAGGAATGCAAGGGACCTGTCCTATTTATTCTCCCTAGCCATCTGGTGTGTGCATCCTGCTGCAAGATACGAGATATGAGGTAACAGGGGAACCACATAGAGCAGCAGACGCGACACAACGGAGAAGAAACAAGGAAGCCTGCAGCTCTGGAGAGATAACTAAAGATGTAACTAGTTAAGAGGCTGATATGCTTCATTTACAGCCTGTCTTTGTGTGAATCTGCTGTGGTTTCTACTGTATCAAGTTGCATCTATCCAGCCCCTGACTGACTCGCTGATATGCCCTGCCATCAGTGAAGGAACTCAAAGGAAGTCAAGGACAGCCAAATGCTACTGCTACCAAGTACAATAACAGAGTACAAGAAACCAAACAGAGTCCTCTTGCCCCTGCCCGGAGTAATAGTTAATATCAAACACGGCGTTGTGTAAATACCCTTGGCTTGCCGCCAGCCCGCCCAGCAGGCACCCCCTGGTCGGTTTATACGCATAACACGCCAGCTATAACTAATAACCAGCCAACTAATAATAACCAAGAAACGACGGCCGCGGGGGCGGGGAAGCCGATAAACTAGTTGGTTTGACAGGTATCGATCTGTCTCGCGAATATCAGACGCCATCGCTGCTCGACAACTGACAACTGCTTTGCCGAGAGTCCAGGCAATTGATGCTGCTCGGGCTGTATATCCAACTCCTGTAACCAACAACAAGAGGACCACCTACTCACACAAGCATAGCCACGATGAGCTCGCAGGCCCTTCACCCGGGATACTCCCATGCGGACGCCTTCGACGAGGGCTTCCTCTCGGTGGGATCCATCCACAAGATCCATTACGAGCAGTACGGGAAGAAAGACGGCAAGCCAGGTGAGAGTCAATAGATAACCACCACCTGCTCGCCCCCTGACTGGTTAGTTACTGAACGAATTGATGCCTATAGTCATCTTCCTTCACGGCGGGCCCGGCGGCCACTGCACCAAGATCAACACGACCTTCTTCGATCCAGAGGTCTACCGCGTCGTCCTGTTCGACCAGCGTGGCTCCGGCAAGTCTCTGCCAAACTCGGAGCTGCGGGAGAACACCACGCACCACCTGGTCGAGGACATCGAAGCCATCCGCAAGCATATGGGCGTCGAGAAGTGGCACATGGTCTTCGGCGGCTCGTGGGGGTCGACCCTGGCGCTGGTGTATGCGCAGGCCCATCCAGAGGTCGTTGGCTCTCTCGTCCTGCGAGGCATCTTCACCTTCCGCAGAGAAGAGCTGGAGTGGTCTCGCAGCATCGTGGCCGGCCGTCTATACCCAGACGCCTACGAGGAGTTCGTCAATTACCTGCCAGAGCCGGCCAGAGCTGACATCGTAGGCTCGTACTACCAGCTGCTCCTGTCCGACAACAGAGAGACACGCATCAGCGCTTCCAAGGCATGGAACAAGTGGGAGCTGTCCATCAGCGAGCTGCGCCAGAACCCTCAGAGCCTGAAGAAGCTCGAGGACGATGACTGGACGCTGGCACACGCCTCGATGGAACTCCACTATGCTATGAACGATGCCTGGCTTGAGCATGGTGCTCTCTTGAAAAAGGAGAATATCGACCGGATCAGACACATCCCCAGTAAGCCCTGGCGTTCTTTTTTTTTTTTTTTTTTTTTTTCTGTATCTTCAGGGGGGATGGGTTAACTAGGGAACTACCGCTGCTGACCTGCTTTGAAGCAACTATGGTTCAGGGGCGTTATGACATCGTATGCCCTCCCCAGACAGCCTATGAGCTGCACAAGGCGTTCCCTGAGTCCAGGCTCTTCTGGATTCCGGATGCCGGACACAGTGCAATGGTGAGACCCCCGTTCCGCACCGAATTCAAGCATTCCACTACGGAGTTAACTAACCAGTTTGTGACCAGGAACCCGGAACCCGCAGCAAACTGACTGAGACTTGCGACGAGTATGCTAGCTTATAATTTTAAGGTCGGGCCGTGATCTTTCATGTATCGATAACACTGCTGCCAACAGTCTCACAGAGTAGTTAACTAGTAGCTATCAATATGCACAAGAGAGAATTTATATAGCCATCAGGCTGAACTTGATGACTGGTCTTCCATTCCTCTCTAGCGGAGTTCCCTGGCTATTTTCAATGCTCCTTTTCACGGCAGCAGCCATAAGCTCTCCGAACACTAACGCAGATCATAACGGCGATACGGATGCTGCGAGTGCTAACCAGAGAGCCAGTGGCTCCCCGGATGCACCTAACTATAGCTTACACCGTCAATCATCAGATCGACAATCAATGTCGAGCAGTGAACCAACTAGCTAACTAGCTAACTAGCTAACTAGCCAAGCAGTCAAGTAAGTTGGCCAGTTATCCAACTCTTCCAGCTGAAGGTCTCGCAGTAACACAGAGTATGCAGGAGTGTCGAATTGTACGGCTGAACCACGGTTGCATCCTTGACTAGGTTAACTAACTAGTTAGTTAACTAACTAGTTACATAGTTATCTGGCCTGTCCGGCGTCTGGCGCATGTTTTGAATGCACTGCACTGGAATATGGTAGCCAACCACCTAAGCTACTCCCTCGATGGCTCCCAAGTTGACTATTCTTCAGCCAAACTCGACGTCCACTCTTCACATCCCCATCTCATCCATCCAGATATCCAGCCTCCTTTTATGCGAACAGACTCGGAGCAGCAAGCTAACTGACTAGTCGGCCCTGTGGGAGGCGAATCTCTTCTTTCTTCTCACCTGGGCCCTCAGTTACATGCTCTGTGGGCGTGTCCGTCAGATACTACTGCGATTGAGCTGGTGTTGATTCGCCTCGAGTTCCGCATACCAGACATGCCCTGGACCTCCTTCCTCTCCAGAAGAAAGATAGGCGCAGGGGAAACGTCCGGGTTACTGTGTATGCGAGAGCCCACGCTGTCACCCTGAGCTGCAGGCACTTTTTCTTCCTTTTACTCTGCGGAGAGCGTGAAGCAGACGCTCACTGAGCTGCTTCGTTCATCTAAGTCATATCCTCACTCTTACTGCGGAAGACTTTTTACCACTCTCTACTATAATAAATACCATTGTTATCAAGCAGGCAACGCCGGAGATTTCTATCCTTTGATGCTACATATACGCCCCCCAACGTCATCGTGATATGGGTTCCAGAATTTCATATCCGGGCTGTGGCAGCTCCAACCAATCTGCTCATACCCTTTGATGCGGATTGAACAAGCATCTGCTAGTGAGAGCGCAATCCTTCTGGATCCATTATCCCATAGCTTGTCTGTTGATCGACAGCTCAACTTCCGATATCTTTTTGTTGTGGATATGGTATCCCTAAGACATTCCTACAGTCATTCCTCAGAGCATCCAAGCCCAAGAATATAAGAATGGCCCTCTCTCCCTCGATAAAGGCCATGAAGCTGTCCAAGTTGTTCATAGCAAACTATTCCGACATATCATCCTCTTCACCCTTGTCTTTACTTGCCGCATTGATCAACCAGCTATGAAGGGGCTTCTCTCACTGCTCCTTGTGGGAGCTGCTAACGCTTTGGCGGCTTCCTACGAACCTCGCTCCCTCACGGAGGATATGCTGCAAGGCAAGGAGAAAAAGATCTGGGACGCTCTTAAGGGGGAGATACCCGATGCAAAATTGGACGATTACTTCAACCCTCCTACAGCTCATCAACGCAGCCCTGATGAGAAGTGGGACGGTAAGCTTGAGGGAAAATCCGTCAATACTCTTTGGGTCGAAGAAGGAAAAGACAAGCCCTCAGGTATCGAGGAGTATGGCATGAGATTCAAGACCGTGGACCCCAGCTCTCTCGGTGTCGACAACGTTACGCAATACAGTGGCTATCTAGACAATAAAAAGAATGGCCAGCACCTTTTCTTCTATATGTTATCATTCACGCTTGCCTCCTTTATGGTAGAATAGCTACTAACGCTCTGGTGTCCAGGGTTCTTTGAGTCTCGACGTGATCCACAATACGACCCTGTTATTCTCTGGTTGAACGGTGGCCCAGGATGCTCATCTATGACCAGCTTATTCATGGAGTTGGGACCAGCCAGAGTTGGTCAGGACCTCAAGCTCACCCGTAATCCTCACTCTTGGAATAACAGGGCTTCTATAATTTTCTTGGACCAGCCCGTCAACGTTGGATTCTCTTACGGTAAATCAGGTGCCTTCAACACTCCATCAGCCTCGAAGGATGTCTTTGCTTTCTTGACCCTGTTCTTCAAGCAATTTCCTCAATATGCCCTCCAGGACTTCCATATCGCAGGAGAGTCTTACGCCGGTCACTACATTCCAGTAATTGCAGAAGACATCCTGAAACAAAAGTCCAATATCAAGTTCAAGTCTGTCCTTATTGGAAACGGCATGACCGACCCTTACACCCAGTTCGCATCTTATCCACCCATGGCCTGTGGAAAGGGCGGGTACAGTGCTGTCTTGGATCAGCCTACCTGCAAAGCTATGGAGGCCGCCGTTCCGCAATGCCAGAAAGAAATCAAGCGCTGCTATGACAAGCCTACAGATGTTGCTACTTGTGTTAAGGGTGCCAAATTCTGTAAGGACGCTCTCGTCCGTCCATATTCCCGGACGGGTCAGAGCATCTACGATATCCGTGGTCGCTGCGAAGACCCTAAGGACCTCTGCTACCCTATCCTGGGCTGGATCACCAAGTACCTCAACCAGCACCATGTTCAGAAAGCTATAGGTGCTGAAGTCTCACATTTCAAAGGGTGCAACAATCATATAAGCAGCCAGTTCTTCGCCCACGGAGACTACAACCAGCCCTTCCACCGCAAGATCCCCGGAATCTTGAAGGATGTCAATGTTCTCGTCTACGCTGGTGATGCTGACTATATCTGCAACTGGCTCGGCGTCAAGGAATGGACAGAGGCTCTCCAGTGGCCTGGCCGTCATATCTTCAGACGCAAGAACCTCAGCGTTGTTTATCATAGCGTTAACAAATGGCCGTTGGGTCGGGTCAAGTATCACAATGGCCTTGCTTTTCTCCAGGTCTTTAAGGCTGGCCACAGGGTTCCATATGACCAGCCTGAGAACGCCTTGGACTTTTTCAACCGCTGGCTTGCTGGGGAGTGGACTCCATAGACTTCCAGTACTCAACATCGACTTCAATACATAGTCACTCGGAGGAATTGAGCTGAACCCTTTTGCATAGCTCACAATAACTTCGGCCCGAGGGGGGAATTATAATCTAATTTTTATCTTCTTGTACTTCTATAACAAATCGGGAGATTTCTCCCATTCTTATTTAATAATTTTGATGCCATGTATATCCCCCCTTATCTGCTCCATCCTTTACCAGTTTCTTCACATACTCCAGAGCATCTCGCGGCTGTCTTCCTAATAACTCACCCATCAAGGGGTCCACAGTTGCAGTATCCCCTTTTTCCATAGACTCCACCAGGCTTTGCCAGCTCCTGAAGAAGGCTTCTGATTTCCGCCCTCTGCCTTCTCTGGCATCCTCCAAGACCATAATGCGAGGGAATTCATCCTTTGACACGTGTTCGATCTCAAGTTGCCTGCCAGTAACCTCAGACACGGCATTGATGACATCCGTTAGCTTGTAAGTTCGTGGCCCGGTGAGTAAGGCAATGTTATTCTTCAGATTCAAGCCCTCTGGATCACGTAGCATGAGTTGAGCAGTGGCTTCACCCAGTTCATCCCGAGAAGCAAAGGCAACAGGGCCGTCGCCAGAGAGATATATGGTAGTTGTATTTGGATACCAGAATACAAAGACAGGGAAGGCATCGATATACACTCCTTCACGGACAGAGGTATAAGGTAACCCAGACCTAGATGGAGCTATGGTCAGATTGCCCATTTTACTCGGTATAAAAGGTCCCAGAGTAATAGAGTACATACTCTGCTAAAAACCTTTCAGTCACCAAGTGAGCTTGTTGGACGGAAGCCTTGGACTCGGAACCATAACCCCCAAATGCAAGACTGGAGTAATATACCTAGCATAGAAAACCTGTTAGCACAAAGGAAGAGAACAATAATTCAAAGCTGTAGATGGCATACATGGCCGACCTTTGCTTCGACAGAGGCCTTAACTACTCGTTCATGCTGCTTGTTCCTTTTCTCGGTGTTCACTTCAGGGCTGGAGACGAAGAAGAAACGTTCGACACCAGCCAGCGACTCCACAAGTGACTTTGGATCATTGTAGTCGAGTCGTCGAAATTGGATCCCAGGATAATCCTGCTGGAGACTTTGGCCCGTCTCGAGCCTGGAGGATGCAGCTGCAATCTGTGATGGGTCAGAGACGTTTTTATATAGCGTGGCTAGAACAGAACCCCCCAGACCGCTGGACGCACCGGTCACCAGGTATTTGACTGGGTTGTTCATCGTATATCGAGCTGGGTATCTTGGTTTTGATCAAGAGTGAAGAATAGCACAGTCAATGAAGTTCAACTGCTGATTGATGATGGCAGCTGCTGGTGGGCAGCATGGTGGTTATCTTTTATAGCAGCCTCCTCCATGGCAGATATTGCAGGCACAGCAATGACTGTCCATAAAATGTCGCCGTAGCGGACATGTAAGTTGCTCCATGGCCACTGTGAGCACTGGACCTTGGATTTCAAAGCCTCGGAGACATTTCGCAGTTGGTTGTCAGTGTTCTGGGTGCTGGCAGGGAGTTTCGACTAGTTCTTGTGGCCCGAAAAAGTTGCCGAGTCGGGCCAACTTTTTGATGCCTTCCGAAGGACTCGAAGGATCGAGGAGGACTCGACTGGAAGAGCTTAAACTAACTAGCACGCGAACCCCCTGTCCACCACGGGAGCTTGAAAATGGGAGGAGGGCGAAGGAATGTTCCTGAATCTCGTATTCGAGGCCGGACGTGCTATGCCGTCAGCGCTCTCGCAGCGGATGTGCGTGTTCCACGGTGGCAGCCTAAGGCCGGCCCATGGATGGAGTTAAATACTTGTAGTTATCTCCGGTGGTTTCGCCCGACGAAGAGGATTCTAGAGCCAACAAGTCTAGGTATATATACAGGAGAAAGGGAGCAACTGATTTCAATTTCTCTCATCCATTTCATAGCAGACACGGTTATTCAAGATTGACCATTCGAGCTGTTCAAAATGGCGTCCAACCCACCAGGAGAATGCTGTATAAGGGGCTTTATCCATGAGGGCACTGCTACGGGGGAGATAAAGAAGATGGGAGACCGTAAGCACTTCGTCTATTCTATACCTCTTATACCTCCATTTCACTATTCGTAATGGACGAAAGTGAACTAACCAGGCCATAGTTGACGTCTACTTCGCTCATCCCAAGGAATCTTGCAAGAAGGCCGGCAAGGCGATAGTCATCCTCTCAGATGTCATGGGCATTCGCATCAATGCCCAGCTCCTTGCTGATTACATGGCGTCCCAAGGCTATCTCACGGTGATTCCCGACCTTTTCCGTGGTGACAGTCTCAAGCCTGCTGTGTTCGAGCCAAATTCTGGATTTGATCGTCAGGCGTGGTTTGCAAAGCATGGCACCAATGCTGTTGACCCCGTCATTGAGTCTACTATCAAGATGCTGCGAGAGGAACATGGAGTTGAGAGGCTTGGAGGTGTTGGGTATTGCTTCGGTGGAAAGGTATGAAAATGATTGTATGGCTTTGAGTATAAATCTAGTGATCCTGACGTTGTTTCTGTAGTATGTATGCCGATTTTTGAAGGATGGAAAGCTGGACGCTGGATTCACAGCACACCCATCCTTCGTTTCGAGGGACGAGCTATCTGCTATCGAAGGACCACTATCCATCGCAGCAGCAGGTACGTTTTCCAGTTCTGAGTTGCATGTATAGGTCGCTTCTGACAGATAAATATTTGGCTGTCTAGAAATTGACGAGATCCTAACCACCGCATTGCGTCATGAGTCTGAGGAGATCCTAGCAAAAACAAAGCAGCCATACCAGATCACTCTCTATGGGGGAGTGTCCCATGGATTTGCTGTTCGTGGTGACCTGTCTAAACCGGATATCATGTTTGCAAAGGAGCAGGCCTTGGCTCAGGCACTGGCTTGGTTTGGCCAATACCTGTGACGGGTTATCGACCGCGAATGTCATAACTGAATGTTATAAGTAAACAAGGAAAAGGGGGTGAAATCTCTATGATGATTCATTGCAACCATAGATGTATCTGGCCGAATAAACAAATGTATCAGAAACCTTCAAAGGTATTCCGCCCTTTTCTGTCCTTCCTGCGCCTCTCATTTCGACGTAACCGTACAAAAAGACATGACATGACATGATATGATAGAAAAGGATTAGTGTCGAAATGAGAAGAAAAGTAAAAAGTAAAACTCGATCGAAAACACAAAAACAGCAAATGCATGCAATTAGCTAATGATCTCTTCAGTTTCTTCGATGATCTCCTCGACAATCTCCTCTACCACTGTATCCCCCTCAGCGGCAGTGATATTGGGTTGAGCAACGATGTCATCATCTGGGTTGGGAGACAGACCGAGATCTTCTCTTTCCTCGAGAATCATTTGCTTCTCCTTTCTGAGCCAGGCGGTCCATTCACTGAGGACTCTCTTTCTCATCTCGACTATGGCGGTGTTGGCAATATCGACGGCGTACTTGTCTTCTTCGTCAAATTCGCGAGAGTATTCGCGGAGGTTCTTGCGGACTTGTTTTTGCTCTTCCTTTGAAAGGAATGTTGGAGGTCGCGGGCGCCAGAGGAGTTGCTTGAACTTCTCAGTGGGGTGTTCTGCTAATGTTGTACCGGAGAAGGTGTGAATATTATAGCCGTTTTCAAGCTATTGATGGGTTAGCTATGGCATTGATCGAGATAAATTGAAAATGCTTTTCGTCAACGTATACATACCGAGTGCGTCCAGGCAGAGGCGCTGGAGACAACGTATCTACCAGTTGGGTCCCAGTCGACATCAGTCACACCAAAGTGGTTGACAGTCTTCATGAGCTGTAGATTGGCCGAAAGGTCTTTCTCACTCTCTGGCTTCTCACCCTCAAAGTCCAAATCCCAAAAATCAAGGTCAAAGTTTTGCTGAGAATGCACGGTAGCGACGACAACGAATCGGCCCTTGGGAGACCAGTAGATTCCATTGCTCGTCTTCTTCTCAATGGTGCGGATGAGTTTGAAGTTACCGATAGCGCCACCTTTAACTTTCTCAGGGCAAAAGAAAGAGACGGCAGTCTTTGGAGCAACAGCAGAGCCTGCGATAGCCTCGCCAGTTGTGATGAGGACAAATCGATCACCCTTGGGTTCCCAAGCAAAATTTATGACGGTATCCTTTAGTGAGTCGACAACCTCGACTGGCACGCCCTTTTCTTTCACTCGGAAGATCTCCAGGTTGGTAGCCATGGATTTCTTGGACTTGGAGTGCCTGTCAACCTTGACGCAAACGTAGGCACCCTGGGATTGCCAGTGTAGCTTCACATCGGAGACATTGAAAAGATTTCGTGTACGAACGATCTCCTTTGACGGTATGCTCATCAAACCAACTTTAGCAGGGTTGCTTCCAATTTCAGGAGTCCAAAAGCTGAAAAGCTGCTCATAGCGTTTGACACCTTCCCTTTGTACAGTAGCAGGAGACCATTCGAAATCCATAACACCTTCAATCTTGACTACGGTCTTGTCAAGAAGGTTCATACGAGGTAGCTCATAGACAGATATGGACTGGTGCTGAAGCATACGAGCAACATATTTCTCATCCGCTGACCATTTAAACGCAGGCCACTGTACTTTCTTCTTTTGAGCAGCAGCGTCATCGGCGCCAGCGGGGGCAGTTAGGTCATGGCTGACGAAGGATCGGAGAGGCTTTCCGGTGGTAATATCCCAGATGATTATATTCTTGCCGTCTTCATCATATGACAAAACACCAGGTGCTCCCTCTATTTGTATCGGGCGGCTAGACCATGTGGTAAGGTAGTTTTCCTGGGGAGAGAACTCCACAAGCTGGACGAAAGGATGAGGGAACTGTTTTTGTTTGCTGAATTGGGGACCTCCCCAGAGTTGGATACCTTGTGGATGTACGGAAGCAAGGTATGTACCCATGGGAGACCACTGTACAAAAAGCTGGGTCCAGTGATCTCGGTCGACAACATTCTCTGGAGGGTCCTTCTTCATATTCCAAAACACACCAACTTTGTCACCGCGGTACATTGCGAACTGATCGCGGGCATTGGGATCGCCCAGCCATGATCGAAGATGTTCTTTTTCCTGGAACGGTTCGATCCTGGGAGGTTTGTATTCGTCGTCTATCCGGCCTTCACGTCCATATCGGTCTATATCAGTGAGCTTGTTGACTGCCAAGGTGTGCTTCTTATCCAGAGGGGTTCCGTGAAGACTCTTTATGGCAGCAAAGGCTTCCTCGGGGGTGTCATATTCAACAAAAGCGAAACTGTAAGCAAGGAAAAAATAACCCCAGTTAGCTATGTACCATACAACCTCTCCATTGTTCAACCCATATACCGAGCCTTACCCTTCGGACATTCCATTCTCATTCATGGGTAGAAAAATCTGGCGGTTCGGGTCGATATTGCTCGATGAGGGGCCATCCTTCTTTATTTTCTTTAACAAAAACTTAATCAACTTCGCCTTATTATCTTCGGAGACGATTGGGAGTCCGTCAAAAACGACGAAGGTATCGAGTCCTTCTTCCAGTCGGACTTCGAATTCAGCCTTTAAATCTGCACACAAACAACAGCTGTTAGTTCAGCGTCTTCCACTAGGGTCTTTTTTTGGGGTGGGATGTGTGCGGGCATGCCTGAGAAATCGATCTCGACTTCATCCTGCTGCAGGTCCTGCTCGGTCAAGGTATCGAACGTCGACATCGTGGCGATCTGGCGTCTCGCAAGCGACGGCGGGACAAGTTGACAGGCAAAGCAAGGCGACGGCGAAGTTCGTGGTGGAGGAAGAAATCTGATATTTTTTTTTATGTGGACGAAAAAAAGTTGCAAAAGAACGTTGTGTGGGCCATTCCACATCGGGACTAGCGTAGCACGGTAACTACAAGTTCCAGGTTCGATGCAGTCGACTCGCGACATATAAAGCGCCAGCAACAGAGACAGACGGCGACGATGAGGGCATTGACGAAGACCGCAGATAGTACGGAGTAGAGAAGCTGGAGATGGAGAGCAAATTTGAAGGGCGATAACTAGCAGCGTTGGGACTAAGAAGAAGTTGTTCTGTTTCATTGAGGTTACCGCAAACTCCGAGCTAGTTACAAGATATCTCCTATAAAATGCACCACTGACGCCCAGTTAAGAAGATAGAAAGATAGATGGGACAGAAATTTCCCAGAATTTGGATAAGTCGTCGCTAGACTGCTGATGCGAGCAATAACAAAAGAAAAGGGGAGAAAAGAAGAGAGTAGAAGGGAGAGGAGGGAACAAGCAGACCTCCAGGGAAAGTACAGGGTCGTTATCGTAAATGGTTATAACGCTGAGAGGGCAAATGTAACGAGGATAGTAGGATGGTGGGGCGACAAATCACTCCTCTAGGTCATAGAGATTTTGATTGAGTACCTTTGTCATGGTAAACATGTGTATGCGATCCTGTTTGAAAACGGGGCGCATGAGGTCATCGCATCGGATCTGGCGACGGTCATTTGGATCCTGAAGCTCATGTTCACGGATGTACTCCCAGACCTTTTTCACCGTCTGAGGTCTCGACAGCTATGCGCCCAGGTTAGTATCGGGAGGGTTAAACAACAGATATAAGTACTCACAGTCACTTCGCCTCCAAGTAAAGCGGATAGTGCAGGTGAGAGCGCCAGTGGTTTCTGTAGATGAAATTGTTAATAGCAGCCCGAAATATATGGGGTGGACGACATGGTACGAAGTTGCATACATGGAAACCACCCGTGCGATTCACTTCCTTTTTACTTTCCGCAGCAGAGCCATCTACGTCTGAATCATCGGACGCTTTCACTTTTTTCGCAGTTTTGGAGGTGTTCTTTCGTTTCTTCTTGACTACTCCGGTCTTCCTTGAGTTGGCGCCACGTGTTGTCCGAGCACGTAGATTCTCCTCTGCCTGTAATTTCGCTGCATAGGCAGCGTCCGAGTCTACCACGTCGTCCTTCCGCTTCTTTACTGGAGGGGGCGAGGAATCTGTTACATCTGGTATGCCTTCCGGGTCCGCGCTGCGCTTCTGCGGCGGCGAAGGCAGGGAGTTACCGTTAGCGACAGGTACCGAGGAGGTGACGGGCGGCGGTTGGACTGCGACAGCGTTGGACTGTTCGGCAAACATGTCGAAACGCTCCATGATCAGTTCCTTGAGAGTAGCCTATGTAGCTGTCAATACCGGCTTGCTAGTTTGGCAGTAATACAGGGAAGGATGGGGGCCCTGGAGTCTGGGATAATCACCGACCTTATAAGGTGTTAGGTCATGGCCGGTAGTTTCCTGCAGGCCCCTGCGAATTCGCTTTTCTGATATGGTTGTAAGATCGCTGCTAGCCAGAATAGAATCAATTATGGTAGTATAAGATGCTTTCACATCGGGTGACACTATATTTAGGAAACCAGGGTAAAAGTTGTTAGCTCGTATAATCAATCCTTTCAACCGCAATAAGGTAAGAGAAAGAGCTCTCACATTCCATGTTGACAATGCTCAATGAGAGGCACTGCGCAGTAGCAAAGAAAAACAAGACAGGCAGAGTATCTATGAAAGTATATGGACAAAGCTAAGAGACGCAAGCAAGCGCTGTTGTATGCGAGATAACTGGATGAAGGGTGGACTTCAGAGCAGAACCAGGAGGATGGGAAAATGATGTAGTTGACCGGATGAAGCAGCCGGAGAAGCCTTTATTTAGCGCGGCTGGCGGGGCGAAAAGACGCGAGATGCGCTGCATTAGCCGCCACGGATCTAATAATAGCGCGCCATCCGGACGGGAGCATCCAGACGAAATGCACGCCGGCGGCTAGGTGCAGCCTCATCTATCCAATAGATGCATATCTGATGAGTGAACGCAAAATATGTAAAACAGATAAAAATAAAATATATGTACAGCCTAGGTTACGTGGCATCATGCTAGGAACTCGCCGTCGGCAAGGACATTCCACGGCAGCCCTACACGCCAGGACTTTTGCATGAGCTTTCTTGCTCCTCGTATCTATAGTTAGGGGCAGTTAGAAGCGCTCAGTGATGAGTAGTAAGTTCTCCAGGACTCACCTGCTTCATGCCAACACTCTCAAATCCCTGGACGCGCTCGCTCACTTGCCGTCGCTGGCCCTCATTTTGGCTCTCACACCCAGCAGTGAACAGTGGGAACAATATGCACACTTCTTCTTGTCCACCACGAGAAACTTGATCTAGAGAGTCAAAGAGTGCATCTACTAAACTTTTAACGATAGGATCTGAGGTTTCACGCCCCAACACCCTTCGATGGAGGTGGATCATTCCAGCAAGTCGATACGCCTCATCCATTGCAGCCATGCCATGATCTACCAGCTTCCCATGGTGTGTCATAGGCACCGACCTACGTTCAGGACCTGCGTCTTCCATGTCTTGAAGTAGCCGTTCGGCTTTCGCTAGCACAGACGTGGGTGGGTTCCAGCTCGTAAAGAGTCGTCCAGCTGGATCTACTCGTACGTTGTCGCATTGATGCGTGAGTGCACTTAGCCGCGCTAGTAATGAGCAACACCGGGGAGTAAAGCCAGTAAAGCAGTCTACCTCAAACTCCTGGTCAATGACGTTCTTTGGATATTCCGTTTCGGTATCAAGGGGCCAATATGTGCCGTTAAATAGTGGTGCTTCAGCGCGTCTGGATGAAAGGCTACCGAAGAGATCAAGATATACAAGCCAGCGATGCAGAAACGTATTCACCTTCCCAGTGAAATGCTCCGGGTCGGTCTTTTGACGTGTTAAAAATATCTCCCGAGCCGTCATCAAGTGGCTCTCCCACCGGATGGGGACTTCGAATGTGCTAGGCGATATAACTTTCAGGGAGACAAGCATGATCGCTGTAGCTAATGTGGCAGCAGAGGTCCTTCTTCGCGGATCACCAAGTGCATGGCGAAGTGATGGGAAGACGCCGCTAGTCCATCGGGCTATTCGTGTATATGGTTCCGCATGGCCCAAAAGTCGTGACCTATGGCTCGCTGAGTACGCCAGCAAGAGGTTTAGAATATTCTCGTCTTCAATTGCCACTGCATATGCTTATTAGTGCTACCATTTTGTAAGAAAATGAAAGGTATGAAAGAAACTAAGCATACTTGCAGGTAGGACCGTGGCGAACGGATTTAAATGGCAGTCATGAGGCACCAGAATCCGCGCTGTATGATTTATGAAATGGTGGAAGTACAGCATGTTTATTGGGCTTTCAAGTAATGTGGGTGGTAATGGGGATAATAAGCGTGGTATAAGTATAGGGACAGGTTTGGCATAATAGCCTCCTTTAGAAAAAACAGTAGTCACGCTTCGATGAAGTCCGGCGGATATATCTTCCTGCGAGGAGGATGGTGTGGCCGTACCGCTAGAAACTTTTTGATATTGAATGGCTTTGAGGTTGTTTATACCACTCGTGGGTGTATCACGCAAACTAGCTAAAAGTTCAGCATCTCTATACACGTCTAGATCGGGTTGACCACAGTCTAATCCATAACTCCTTCCATGGTTTGAGTCCGGTCCGGAAGGTACTGATAGCAAAGAGTTGACCGAAACACGATGCATGTCTGCAGGCGTATTTGCACCACTTGTGTTTGAACCTAATGGAAACTGCAGTAATGTCTCCTCCGCCATGCAAGATGCCGGAGACTCAGTTATAGCCAGTTCAGAAGCACGAAACATGCCGGTATTAGGTGTGGGTATATAGTTGGTATGAGCCGTCGTTGATAGACGTTGAGGGTCAACATGCTGGGCAAGGGTAGAGGAACTGGGTGAGGTAACCTCACTACTCTCCCCTGCAGTGATTTTCTGATAATGTGATGGAGAGGTAGACTGCCCTGGTGAAGCATACGAGCTAGAATTTGGTGTGTACGGCAACCACGCTAGGTCCGCTGATGTTCTAGGTAGGCAAGCACTTAGCCCAGATAGTGGCTGACTATCATTAACTGGGATTATAGGGCTACCAAATGGTTCTGAAAGGACCTCGCCATGATCTGACTGCTGTTTATTATCCAAATGTGGTCCTAGATATTGCTGTATAGGCATGAATATGTGCTTTACAGAGGATGCTGGGGAGAAGCTTGCCCGATCCCTTGCTGAGTTGGGTGTGGCCGGTGATGATGGTGATGGTATCGACTCTCTATTGAGTCCAGTATCTTCTGCAGCGGCTCGTTTCCTTGCACGGCCTTCCCAGTTTAACCGGATGCTATAATCACACTTGTCACCTTGCCTTTTGCAATTGATACAAGATGGTTTTTCCTCACCACTTTATTGCATTTAGTCAGCATTTAAGTATATATACGACAGCCTGATACAATAAGAGTTGATTTGTATGCTAGGCTTCCATGAAACAAGCCCGAACTTACCACTTAACCTTCCGAGCTTTGCATGGCCTATTATCTAGATAATTAGATTACACCTTGAGTTTAACAATATAACCTAGACTTAGAGAGTGACATACCAACAGCCTTTCCTACTCCTCCTCTTGGGCTCCGGAGCACCCGGCTTCTTCGGGCGAGGCATCTTCCTTTATTTGGCCCCTTTGTATTCTTCAATCGACGTAATCAACCCGGGTGGTGTTCCGGCTTGAATGATAACTTTTTTTTCCAGTCCTAGTGCCTGTAGCATCAATTTCATGGAAGCTCAGCCGTCCGCCTAATATAGGAAGAAGAGCACAGTACTAGATGCATCATTGCCTAGCCTGGCACGGGTTGATAAGTGACGGTAGTTGAGCAGTGGTATATGTAATAACGAAACAAATCATCATTGTCATGAGAGACATCAGCCGCCCTAAGGCTGATATATTTTCCAGCTTCTCCTAGTCCCAGAGTCTGGGTACAAAAGGAGGGGATGCCTGGCGCAGAAAGTAAATGAGTCACCGAGGCAGTTGAGGGGCCATGTCAGGGCATGCAAAAGCAGGGACTTGGTGTTCAGTGAGATTGTAGCCAGAATATATGTGGATTGAAAGGCCCGTAACCGTTCAAAGGGCACAGCCTGGTGTCAATCGATGGCTTGGGTCCTTTTCGTATCCAGCTTCTGTCTTTGTCACGGTTTCCCGTCCACCCTTGCTTTTTATATCACGTGATACATTCAGGTCCACCGAGTGGAGAAACTAGCGGGAAAAGTTATTAGTAATCAGAGTCCAGTTAGGTAATCGATTCGCGCAGCAAGGATACAAGTACACTAATTAATGTTCAACTGGTTGCCCGCGATATAGTAGATTGGTGCTGTATAAGTAGTCACCCAGCTTATTGTCTACGTTTTTGTTTCATGAGGCAATGCGGTTTACCTAGTAATCGATCTATAGGTATTCACTGGGCGTACGGAGGATATTTCTCCAGATAGATATCATGTGACTTTAACGCCGCCCGGACAGCTTAGCTCAGCGAAAATCTTGGCAATATGAAATGCTGCTTTTGGGCAAAAAGACGTCGAGAACTTCGCGAGCATCAACTTCACCACCAGCAATTTGAACCATCGCACAGCCATGAATACGCCAATCCGCACGGCTGTCCTGGGTGGCAGACTTTCAAATGCGTGGTCGCCCTTGGCCACCGGCGGCGCAAGCGGCCCATTGTCAATGACAGGCTACCAGCATCAACCATGCCGCCGGTCAGCACCGCAATCATCACCACTCAAGCAACATCCCATACGAGCTTCAAGCTACGCTACAGCATGCAAATCGCCAATGCATCCAGCAAATTCGTTCTCAAACACATGCAGAGGAAACTATAGCTCATCCTCTGCCAACAGCCCTACCCTCCAATTGATTACCCGAAACTCACAGCCATGCCTCGTATCACGACGAAATTCCTCCACATCTACTCAAGCTGCCTCGTCCAGTAGCCATCCCACCAGCACTTCCAATACCCCAGTGAAGCTTGACTGGAACACCTTCTTTCAGCTCCGTGCCTCCCGCCGGAAGTACTCTCTAATTTCTTCCGTTCTCGCCGCGTTCACAACCACTGCGGCTGGAGGCCAGATCCTAGCTACGCAAAATCTGGAGAGTTTAGGCGCACAAATTATGGGCTTTGACCCATTGATTGTACTTGGCCTGGCGACCGCTGCCTCGGGCGCATTGGGCTGGTTGGCCGGCCCATTCTTGGGCAATGGCCTTTGGGGCCTGGTTTACAGGAAGTACAAGAGTGCAGTTGCTATTGTACGTCCCGATGCTCTCTTTCCGTGGAACTATTCCTTTACAGTGATTTAGCTAATCAATTCAACAGAAAGAGAAAGAGTTTTACGACAGAATAAAACGCTTCCGCGTTGATCCCTCCGCCAATTCGTTCGCTAACCCTGTGCCAGACTACTACGGGGAGAAAATCGGCAGTGTCCAGGGATACCGACAGTGGCTTAAAGACCAACGAGCGTATAACCGCAAAAAGCGAAGATTTGTTTAGGCTACCAGACTAGTTATAACCTACCTGTGCTGTCATTGATTATGGTTTGGCTCAATATCTCCGTTACAGGCACCAATAATCATTTTTTATTTACCTTCACACATGTATTTGAGCCTTCGCAGACCCCATTGTTCCACCCAAGTTCTCTAGGAAGAGTTGGCACAATCTGTATAATCTTTAAATATCGGCCACTACCCTGCTCCACACTTATTGTACCAGAATAATTCCATTCTTTTACAAGCTACAGGGTGCCTTATTACACTCCTTGGTAGAAACAATCTTGATAATTATCTATTTCATTGTGCTTGGTTAAACGCGAATTTCTGCATCGCCCCCCATTATTATTCCTCCCTGAAAGTGATTTTTTCCCCTGCCTTACATTCAAGGGTCGGCACAAGCAAACCCAATGCTACATCCATCCGAAGACTCGTCATCCTCCCTAGAGCCAGGAAGAGGTCGGGCACACGGGTCCGGAGAAAATCCAACGGTACATTCCCTCAAGAGGGACCTAAGAATTCCATAGGCAGCATCAGCAGCTCGAATTGAGCTGAACTGGACTTTGACCTCGGTTTCGTCAGCATTTCAGTCATTCTGTCTCCCATTTCAAAGTCAAGGCGCATTTTGTTCTTTAGATTCTTTGCGATGTAGCTGTATCGTCTGGGGTCCCGGTCTCCTCGGATCACCAAGCCACGGGAATAGAGCTGGTCTGTGATATTTTGATGCATTGCCTTAGGGATTGGGTATGTAGGAGTCTTGGAGAGGTAGACATCAACTCTGGCGTCATTGAAGTATACACCGTGGTTGGTTGCAAAGTTGACGTAGGCGGAAGCATCCTTGCCTCGAACAAAGGTCACAACTCCCATGTGGTGCCCTACATACTCCTGCAAGTTCATGATATGAGCTGAGTACACAGCCCCTCCTCGGATAGCAGAGAGCAAAGTCCTCATATCAACATCCAGAGGGAGTTTAGTGAGGAAGACAGTTCGATAGGCATCTTTATCATCAAAGCGGGGGGTATAAACTAGGCCATGAGCGATGAGTTCTGCACGGGATCCGAATCCTGAAAATCTTCCTTCCAACTTGCTGAAATCAGTGTTGGCCAGCGTATCAGTCCAAGAGATATAACCGTCCCAGGGCAGAGCTCTTGCAGGCGTAGGAGGAGAGGAGCTCGAGGTGAAGAACTACAGACAGTGTTAACAATAGAGTGCAATTCCAGTGCTCGGGATGCCACATACTTCGTCGTCGTCAGAATCAGTATTGTCCAAGCTGTTGCCTCTTCCACGATGGTGAACAAGGTCATCCACCGAGCCTACTCCGTCTACCAAGGTCTCGTTGAGGTCGAAGGATGACTTGCTGGTAACAGGAGTCATGGTAACAGGAGTCAGAGGCGTAACTGCGTTCTCCTTGGTACTCCCCATGCTGCCCATGCTGCTGAGACACGACTCGAAGGCATCCAAGTCATCGAGAAGGTAAGGAGAGTTGGCGTCATCAGCGCGGACCGCAGTGGCTTCGCCGTCAGAGCCGCCAAAGAGACTTGACTTCCACATTATGGCCGCTCTTTGTACAGGGATTCACTGCTCTGGGGAAATCTGCGCCAAACAAGAAGGCGATAGCAAACGCAAATCCGTGAAATCTGAAGTATCTGCAAGGCCTGAGCGAGTAAAGCAGCCGAAGGAGGTTGATGTTGGAAGAAAGGAAGAAGAAGAAAGAGGTGAAGCTCAAGGCAAGCAGAGAGAGAGAGAAAAAAGGGAGGCGGGCAGTCAAACAACACTGAAAGCGAAGAGACTCCCAGCCTCTTCTTTTTTTCAGCACTATATAGACGAAGCTGCTATGCTTGAATTCTTCTTCTCTCGTTTAAAATATAGGAGACGCTGAAAAGTAAAGGATAGGCCAGGCTGAGGTTGCTTCTGGGTGATGTCAAATGGGAGGCGCAATGGTATATAAATTGAAAGATCAGAAGGATATCTGCCAAATGTCAAATCAGAACCCACAGGGCCATATGATATGAAAATATGGTAGACACGCTTTCATCTAGTCTTTTTTAAACATGATAAAGGGTATGTTTGAGTGCTATTCAGGCTGCCCTGGTATACATATTCACAATTCGCTGGCTCTTTTTCGGTCCTTCCACCACATGGCTGCTTGCCCAGCTATGTATGCAGCTGAGGCAGCGTTTTGAAACTCGAAAGGCATAAGTGGTCTCGTAGCTGTCCTTGATGCAGAGATGGCTTCCGCGGGCAAAAAGGACCGCGGTCTCTCCTTCGTCTGAGGCGGTTGCTGGCGGCAGGACCAGGTCTGTCGCCTCGAGGTGACCCTTTTCTCCTTCACCTTCATCCATAAACCGTAGCTGATGAAAGATATAGTCTGGCAATTCCTCAGTCTGACCGTCTTGTGCGCTTTCTTTGCTGGATTCCATGTTGACCTTGACGAACCAGACGCTCAGGCTAGAATCTGATAGCCGCCACATATATTTGCGTGACCATTTCATCCCCGTCGAGTTACGGCCTGATGGGTCTCGCATCTCTCCTTGCTCCTCATATACAAGGTCATTTGAGAGGCCGGACCCTCCATTGCGAGCCGGCTTGAACGTTGCCGTCCCCTCCAGCTCCCCTTGCATGTCCAGCTGGTTATCGCTTTTGAGCCTGCGAGTGAGATTCCATGGTCGAGAGTCGGTGGCAAGGGCCTTGAATATGCTAGATGCTAAGCAGCGACTTGAGCTCATGCTATCTGGCCCTTTTCTCGTCTGCTCTAGCTTGGGGTTGCAGACGTTTGGAGTTCCTTACACGGGACTTGAATCTGGCTGAAAAGCTGAAGCTTGCTCAAAAGTGCTGGAGATTTAACGTTAATTTCATACGACAGATAACTAGTACTTTTATCTACACGCATACGACGAGGTGATATTAAGTGTATATGCATTAATTTCAACTGCTAATGGTTTAACCGCTGCCTATTATTCTTTTCAGACAGGTGTGTGTATTCTATGGAAGTAAAATTTTTAACCACATTGGGCTCGAGAAGTTAACTTTTCCATTCCTATAGTCGCTCAGTGACGGTCTCTCCTGCGAGGAGCACTGCGAATAATGTTGTCGACCCGTAAAAGTAGCTAAAGGGAGATCTCAGTTAAAAATGAACAAAACAATGTTAGGTTTGGCAAAGGGTGGGTTTTAACTAACCTCAGCAGCTTCAGAAGCCGACGAGACAACGGCGTGCTTGAGTTTGTAGCTCTCCACAACACCGAGTTCGCGCATGTTGGCAATACCTCCCCCGGGAGTGAGAAGGTCTAGACCGGAGCTGGTCAGACCCTTGTTGATGGCTTGTCGAAGTCTTGTAACAAGGTCACTCGAGTCAAGGCCGGCGTTGTCGGCAAGGATAATGGGCAGTTGTTTTAGAGCCTGTGCGAAAGCGTCCACTGCTAGCTGCTTCTTTCCAGTGGTGTTTTGGGCAGCATGTTCAACTGCCTTGGCCATAACCATTTCGGCGCATCCTCCACCTAGGGTAACTTTGGGCTCTTTGACAGTCTGGGACAGAACGGCAAGGGCGTCGTGTAGAGATCGGTCAGCTTCGTCCAGGAGTTGTCCAGTAGCTCCACGAAGAACGATGGTGCAAGCCTGGCCAGCAGCAACACCAGAGAACTTAATAAGGGTATCTTCTCCAATAATCACTTCTTCGATCAAATCACAGTGACCGAGCTTGACTTGGTCGGGATGGTCAAAGGTGGAGGCGATTTCACCTCCAGTGACCAAAGCGAGGCGCTCAATGCCGTCGAAATCAGCATGCTCGATAGAGACGATGCCAGCGTCCGTGAAGAGCTGCTCAGGCCAGTTGTAGATAAGTTGACGGTTGACAAAGCAGTTTATTCCGTGGGCCTTGATTCTCTCAACCTTTGCCCGCATCTTCTCCTTCTCCGCTTTTTCAAGCTCGGCCAATTTCCCTGTCGAGTCGACCTTGACTCTGGCGCCGAAGATCTTGACTTTGTCGGTATCCATACCAGTATTTGCAACCAGAATCTTTGCCTTTTCTAGTCTCTTGGGCTGATTCACTCCAATGCTCTTATCCAAAATGAATCCTTCATCGAGGTACGAATCAGAGAGCTTTCCGCCGGCCTTTTTAATGATCTGTATATGGCTGAGATCCGTAGACCCCTTTAACCTCAACACTGCGTCGCAGGCAAGATCGGCAAACTGGTCTCGATCCTGGCTTAGAACTTTGGAGCTCAGGGTGGTCCGCGCAATGGCGTGGAGGTCTTTTCGGAACGCAACAGGGTCGGCACTGTTGTCAACTGCGCTCGCTTCCAAGGCTTCTAGGGCAGCACGGCTCGCTATTCGGTATCCATCGATGATGACCTGAGGATGAATTTTTTTCTCAACGAGTTTCTCGGCTTCCCGTAGCAGTTCTGCAGCCAGAACTGTGACCGATGTTGTTCCGTCCCCCACCACGTCATCCTGGACTTTGGATATATTGACTAAAACTTTGGCAGCGGCATTATCAAGCGCAATAGCCTTGAGGATAGTAGCTCCGTCGTTTGTCACCATGATCTCTCCTGTTGAGCTGTGATATAAATTAGCACCTCCTAATTCTCGCTGCGCCTCGTAGGAGCTCTGCCTAATTTTCAACTCACGCAGATTGCAAGATCTTATCCATGCCCTTTGGACCTAAAGTGCTTTTGACCAAATCTCCAACGGCAATGGCACCCACAAAGGCTGACAATCGCGCATTTTCGCCCTTTTCCTCGGTGACATCCTCCCCAAAGATCTGTGTCGGGTTATTGAAAGAATTCGCCTGGTGGGGTTAGCATATAGGAGGAAATATACAGGGAAAACGGGTGTATCTATACCATGGCAGCAGTTGGAGGACGATATCTTGCGCTAGTAGAGGGTCAAATATGGTCTCCAGCAAGGTTGAGGGGCGTAACGGAGCTGGTTGGTTTTCTACAACTGCTTGTGCCTCCAAAATATTATATTTCTTAGTTATCAGGCGATAAGCCCTCGTTGTTGTGGATATCACGTGATGCTAAAGCTACCTTACCTATTTTTTGGGGGAGCCTCAAGTTGCGACAGTTTAGTTTTGGCCGACGAAGCTTCAGACAACACATGAAAAGAAGGAGGTTAATCAGGACCAATTCATTTAGGAACCTGGGAATTGGTGGCTAAAGCTAGAGATATGTCTGAAGTCGCGGGATCGTCAGAGAAAGCGGCCAATGTGAGGCTACACTCGCAGGTGGAAGAAGACGAACGGGAAGGTCAGTGTCACTTGCTGACCATGGTACCTGGAGGAATTAATACTGACTTGATAATTTCTAGCTGACAACTCATCCTCTGACGATGACTACGGCCCTGCTCTTCCTTCCGGTCCATTGAAGAAGAAAAAGCGGAGAGAACTACCCTATGAGAAACTCTATATCAAGGCCCTGCCAGCTTCTCCACGATACTCTAAATCGTTGATGCACCGGGATCAACTCGCGTATGTGACTGTGACACCACATACCGATTTCATCATCACAAGCTCAATAGATGGCGTGGTCAAGTTTTGGAAGAAAATGGCTGTTGGTATGGAGTTTGTGAAGGAGTTCCGTGCCCACATGGGAGAGATCAAGGGGGTCAGCGTGACATCAGACGGACGAAGTTTTGCAACCATCGGGGGCGACAAGACTATGAAAGTATTTGATGTGATAACATTCGGTATAGTATCATCATCATCACTTACAAGATACTCTTGGCTAACCGGGGAATGTAGACCTTTTAGCAGTCCTTAACCTCGAGTTTATTCCTAGTTGCGTATGTTGGGTACACCAGCGAGGAGCGTCTTTGCCTTTATTAGCGGTGACAAGCGAGGAAGATAATACCATATTAATTTTCGACGGTCGATGTGAGAAGACAACACCTCTTCACAAACTGAACTCAGTACACAGAGCGCCCGTTATTTCCATGGCCTTTAACAATGCATTTAATTGCGTGATATCTGTTGACAATAAAGGAATGGTAGAATACTGGCGTCCAGATGAACCATTTGATAAACCGGAAGGCGTATTCGATTTGAAATCTTCGACGGATCTCTTTATATTCAAAAAGTCAAAATCGTTGCCATCGTCAATCTCAATATCTCCATCAGGCCACCGATTTGCAACATTCTCGTTCCCGGACAGGCAGGTTCGAGTCTTCGATTTTGCCTCTGGAAAGCTATACCGCTCGTACGACGAATCCATTCAAACTGTGACAGAGATGCAGCAGGCCGGGACTGCGCTTCAAAAACTAGAGGAAGTCGAGTTTGGCCGTCGGTTGGCTACAGAACGCGAACTTGGGAACCCTACTACAGCCCCAAAGGTAAATGTGATATTCGATGAGTCTGGGCATTTTATATTATATGGTTCGATCTTGGGCGTAAAATGTATAAACACATTTACGAACAGGGTCATCAGGGTGTTTGGAAAAGACGAGCCTTTCCGAGCACTGAATCTCGGAATATATCAAGGCCAGCCGCAGAAGAAAGGTGTTGTGACTGTTTCTATGGCCGCTAGTTCAAATCCGCTCCTTCAAGAAGCTGAAGAGCGCGACCCGATCCTAATAACCACCGGGTTTGCCAAAGTCAGGTTCTATCTCTATACCAACGAAACAGAAATATCAAAATCAACGCGAGATGTCCAGAATGAGAAGCCGATACATGACAAAGGTGGTGCGGACACGGCCTCGGCCGCAAAGCCTGCAGAAACAGGAACGTCCGCAATTTTACATACCACCCTTGGAGATATCCATCTTCGACTTTTCCCTTCTGTTGCTCCAAAGACAGTCGAGAATTTCGTTACCCATTCGAGGAATGGGTACTATAACAACACCATATTCCACCGTGTCATCCGCAAGTTTATGATACAAGCTGGTGAT